TGTAATTCAATGTTTACATGAAAGTAGTTGTTTCGTGAAAGCTTTCTTCCAGTCTGTGTATGAAAGTAGCTTCTTTGCATGATCTACACATCTTTGTATAGACTTACTTTTTTTGAAATTGATTGCTTCTCTCCTTTCTTTAGGAGATTTTCACATTTTTTTGTATCAAGATGGAGAAGTCGAAACTCAAAAACTGTGAAAATGAATCTGAATGTAATTTTGATTTATAAAATGCTTCCTCAAATATAATTCTCAACAAAAATGAAAAACCAGAAAGATTTTTGATTATCAGTTTCAAATACAATTTCATTTATGAAGAAGTTTTTTTCGGTCAAGAGTTGAAATGTATTTGAAACTTTTGTTCAAATTTGGTACTACAGAAAATAATTTGGTTTTGTTATAGTCCTTAACGTGACCCTCTTAAATGACACGGTCATATTAAATTCACAATAGTCCACCACATTCGGAATGAAATAATTATTTCGATAAAATAGTTAGTTACAGTTATGCCTCGAAACAATTGTGAATGAAAAAATATTTTTTCATCAGCATAGGTGTTTCCTCATTGACAGAATCAAAATTTCTCACTCAACTGGTGCTGATATTACTCAAGTATTTTTTGCCAAATCTTTTCTGAAATACAAAATCAAGAAATTTTGTTTCATGTACAGTGCCATATCGAATTGACTGAAAGAGCAACAAAAGCGTTATTGCAATGTGGAGGGATCAGCGTTAAGAATTAGTCAGTAACTGATGTAATCAAAATTGTATGATCTCAATCGATCGACTTTCTTTTCTGTGAAAAAATTAATTGCGTTAAACCATGCGTAAAGAATATCTATTAACGAATAAATAATGAGTCACTCCGATAATTTTATCCAGTTCCTATTGTTTCGATGGACAAATGTAAAATATTTTCTTTTCTGTTATGTATCGCAAAATATGTTGCTTCAATTTCTTCAAAGTTTTGCTTCATATACACAATTTGGCTGGGATATGTGATGGAGTTGGCCAATATTGAATGAACAATTCATGATGATTCACTAAATGATTGAAAATATTTTAAAATATTGTGAACTATAAATTATTTTTGAGTTGGGTATTTCAGTCAATATCTGCGGGCTATGGAAACATTATTTTTTGTTATTCAAGCTTTCGGAAATATATTTTTTTCCTTTATCAAGAATAGTGTTTCCATAGCCCGCAGATATTGACTGAAATACCCAA